TGCTGAAGATCATTAAAAAATGGTTGAAACAGTACATAAATAAGGAACTCAGAAGTTCAAGCAGGATTTAAAAGAGACCATAGCAACAGAGATATTATTGCACATGTCAGATGTCAGATGGATCCTGACTAAAATTAGAAGAGTACCAGAAGAATGTCTATTTATGCTTTATGGACTATGCACAGGCATTTTGCTTTATGGATCATAATAAGTTACAGCTAAAATTGACAAGAATTCGAATTTCAGAGCACTTAATTGTGCTCATATGAAGCCAATACCTAGACCAGGAGCCTGTTTTGTGAACAGAGCAAGGGAACACTATGTGGTTGAAAAATAAGAAGAGAGTTCATCAAGGTTGTGTTCTCTCTCCATACCTATTCAATCAAATATGTTTAGTAAATTAATTGAGAACTGGACTCTGTGAAGAGGAATGTGGTATCGGGATTGGAGGGAGGCTCATCAGAATCTTGCACTATGCAGAGACACAATCTTGCTTCCTGGAAGTGAGACAGATGAGGAAAATATTGAAACTGTCAACAAGTTCACCTGATCCACAATCAGTACCATTGGTACCAGCAGTCAGGAAATGAGGAGATGCATTGCATTGGGAAAGTCTGCAGTTAAGGCCTTCTCTATATACCTCATTAAGGAGTAATGGTGTCAGTTTGAGAAGTAAGTTGAGTCTGGTTCAGACCATGGACTTTCTGATCATTTGCTATGTATCTGAAAGCTGGATAATGAAGAAGGATGACAGAAGAATTGAGCTTTGAACTGTGAGAAGATTACTGAACAAATATGTCTTGGAGAAGGTGCAGCCAGAATAGGGTGCAGCCAGAAGTGCTTTTTGGAGGCAAAGACAATGAGGCTTCACCTCACATACTTTGCACATGTTGCTACAAGGGGCTATTCCTTGGAGAGGAAGATGATGATCAAAAAGGTAGAGGGTCATCAAAGGAGAGGAAGATCCTTGACCAGTTGGATTAACATGGTGACTGCTGAAATGGGCTCTAGTATGTCAGGAAGTGTGAGGATAGCACAGGATAAGAAAGGATTCAGATCTGTTGTTCATAGGGTCACTAGGGTCATACTCAGCTTGATGGCACCTAACAACAACATAACAATACTCGCAGGAAGAGAATGGAACTCTTTCTCCCATGGAGTCACTGGTGAATTCTAACTCACTGCCTTTTGGTTGCTAGCACAAACTATTAAGCTACCAGAGCTCCCTTACCAAACTAATTTATATATGATGTTAGTAACAAGAGAAAATGTGTGGATAGAGATAAAAGACTATATGGGAATGGCCTTTTCTTTCAGTATAGTTTTTCTATAAAGCTCTAAAATAACTGAAAAATAAATGCAGTAGAATATAAACAAATATTACCTTTGAAAGCTAAGTCCACAGTGACAAACACATAAAAATAGTTTTTTCAACTCAAAATGCTTCAGGTAGATTTCTTTATTATTTATATACTTGTGACATTTAAAAATAATGTTTTTAAGTAAAATTAAATTTATAAAAGTAAATTTTCGAAAACATTTACTATTTTCTGATACATTTAATATTTTCTAGCTTGCCAGTAACATGGTCCAGAAAGACAGCTAACTATTCAGACATTCAAAAGAATTAGTCATTTTAATCAGCATAGGTATTTTGTGTCTGAAAAAGTAGGCCAAATAGTTAATGCTTCAGTGGTGTATCTCAAAATCCAGGGTAACTAAGCAAGCATTAACTTATGGAATCTTAATAGTCACCTCATTGCTAAAGTAAAAAGGAAACCAGGAGGAAACTTAATAATATTAAAAGTTATTTTAAAGGGAGTTCACATTGGTTTGAAAGGTACTTTGCTTCACACACAATATCCACCTTTGTAAAGTCTCAGAAACCCATATTTGTAACATACACACATCTTTGCCATTTTCAGAACATAAATCTTTAGGGAAGTATTATTTCTGTATTATTTCTCCACAGATAAAAATTAAAATACTGAATATATTTGGAATAATAATAAAGGAAAGCCCCTTGCCAACCAAGGAAACTTGGAACTCTGTGTTAAGTGCTTCTTTGACTATAAAAGGGTCAGTGTGTGTTGTAATGAATGGAAAACTGATTTTACTGTATTCTATTTGTGGATGTCTCGTGACAACCTATTTCAGTATTAGAAAGATCATATATTAAAAATGATGTTTTGCACTCATCAATGTATACAAGTAAAAATGTAGTTCCTGTTAAATTAACCCTCCGTTGAAAAAAATAAAAATAAAATCCACAATAACGCTTTATGTTGTACTCCAAAATGGAAAAAAAAATATAAAATTTTGAGGAACAGATTGCCAGTTATTCTATTCCATAATAGTTACATTTCTCAGTTCTTTTTTTTTTTTCTTTTACTGAGCTCTCTGTCACTGGAAACATCTTAAACCAATTTCAAGTGCTACACCTGAATAAACATGTTGTAAAAGTGTTTATGTATTGAAGTGGGTCAGTTCAAGGTATGGTATTTGGCTGGAACTTCTAATTTCTCTTTTTACAGCAAAAGGGCTGCCAGAAGGAGGAAGTCTGAGCTGAATTAATACATTTGTTACAGTGGAAGTAGAATGGAAACTGCGCAGACCACAAATCAAACTGCCTCTTTCATTTATGCCAGTGATAGAGTTTTTCTAAGAAATATAGACTCTGGCATAAAGCCACCATACGTTTGCATTTAAAAGAGAAACCTATATGCTTATTTGTTTAAGGTTTACTACTTTGATTATTTATAATTTTGGGGGGAGGCGCGGGACTAAGCATAGTGGTATTTGTGAGGTAAGTGGCTTTCTAAACCTTATAAGAACCCAGCACACTCCAGAACAATTGTTGAGGACTCTGATGGTGTCTGGGCTGGTACATGCATTTTTTTTCTTTTTCTTTCCAAACCAATACCTCCACATTTAAAGGACCTCTGTGTCCCTCCCAGGGGCTGCACAGCCTCATACGACACAGTCTCATTTTCTGATGGGAGAATGTCTCTGTACAACACAAGGATATACAAAAATGTTTATGTTGCCCAAACAATTCTGTTAAAAGAAAGGGTTTATTTGCTAAAATGCCATTGATTACCATCTCAGGGACTTAACTAGTTTTCCTCTTCTTTCTTCTAAGGTGGATTAGATCTTATAATAGGCTGAGGTTGCTCCACAGTTTTTACTGAATAAATATTAAAGAAAGCATGTACATCTCTCATGAGCCAGAGTCAATCACGCACATATTTCCAACCACACTGGATATGACTCCTGGGAAATTGATAACTTCTGTATCCAGAGTAGAAAACTTTCGTGCATTTTTAATAATTTTCAGCCATATTTTCAACTTAAGGATGGAACAGTTTCTCCTTTTTGGGTAGTTTTTGTAGAACCAGATATAAAATCAATGGTTTTCTTTCTGGGGATAGTTTTATATTTTACTTATTTTCACAGATAATTCTTTTGAACTAGAAGAGCCTGTGGCTGTTAGGTCCTAGTAAGCTGACTATGACTCATAGTATCCCTATGAACAACTGATCTTTACCTCACCCTGTCATGCAACATTCTCACAATTTCTGTTTGCCTCAGGCCCACTGTGGTAGTTGCTCTGTCAATCCATCTTGTTGATAGTCTTCCTCTTCTTCACTGAAGAGCCTAACAGTAAAGTATTAGATATAAAATATAGGGGAAGGCAGTAATACTTTACTTGTAGAGTTTTTGTGCAGCTAAATTAAATTTGTGCAACGAAATTAAACATTAACCCAATGATCTTCTTTATTAGGAAGAGTTGTATATTATATTTATTTTCACAGAAAATTATTTTTAATGCAACGAACTTTGTAAAAATACATTCTTAGAGGTGGAAGATAGTAATGCCTGATTTGTAGGTTGTTTGTACAAATTGAATAGCATGTATATGACATTTGGAAAAAAATGTTTTTCTCTCTCTCACTCACACACAAACCCCATCGTAAACATGGTAGTTGCCATTGTAACTTTTATTATTATTATTATCACCCACAACGGAAAAGTATGTTATCAATGTTCACTGCTTCCCTCGAGGACACCTGGATTCTATTACATTTCTATACAGGTTTGATAAAACTACTTTCTTATCATAGTAGCCACAGGCACAGACACAGGTCAGGGGTTGGGAATACAGAGGCTCATGTAAATGCTGAGAGTCTCTAAAATCATCGGAGTTTGTTTTTATATTATTATTATTTTTCCCCTTTTCTAAGAGTGTGCACCAATTCCTAGAATGTGAGTTTGGTTTGCATCTTCTGAAATTCTTACAGTAATACATTATATCAATACTAAAAGAGGAAAGGACTCTGATATTTATTTGCGTGCTTACTTCACAACAGCTTCCACTGAGATTTAGTTAGAGTTTAAAACAAACCTCCCTTCCCACACTGGGCTTCCAGAAGGATCAGAAAGAGCTTTAAGTAAAAGCTTTGTAAAAATGTCTGGGTATTTGCCAGAGGTGAAGGAGGGAAGGCTATCAGCACTAATTAACACTTAGCCTCCTGGAAAAAGGTGGAGAAAGGTGAAACCTCCCCTTTAAACATATAGCTTTTATCATGTAGACAAAAATAAAAGGCATTTGATTTGGAAAAGTTCATAGTCTGTATTTTTAAAAAGTTATTATTGAATGTGAAGATTTCCAGACTGAGGGGAGTTAAGTTGTTCGACTGCTGGCTTCAACATCTGAGAAGATAGCAGTTAGTAAAGGCATCCGGAGGGCGTGCAATGTTGGGAAAATGAAGCAAATGAAAAACCAAGAGTGGATCATCAGCAAACCCTCAGTGTTTATACCAATCTGTATAGAAAATGTTCTGATAATGCTTTAAAAGCTGTCCCCCCCTGGACCGAATACCCTCAGAACCCATTCATGTTAGGTAAACTGTATGTCTTTCTCATAAACTAAAAAGTGTGTGTGTGTGTGTGTGTGTGTGTGTGTGTGTGTGTGTGTGTGTGTGTGTCTTATGTTCTAGGACGCAGTATAAATGTAAAATCTGCTGGTCTTGTGGGAAGACATGGCCCTCAGTCAAAACAGCCATTCATGGTGGCCTTCTTCAAGGCAAGTGAGGTCCTTCTTCGATCTGTGAGAGCAGCCAACAAACGGAAAAATCAAAACCGCAATAAATCCAGCTCTCATCAGGACTCCTCCAGAATGTCCAGTGTTGGAGGTAAGAGAAAACTGGAGCAGTAGTTGTGGGCAGAGAGTTATGGGGTCATATGTTGCAAATTAAGTAGCCACAATAAATTCACCCTCTGTATATACCTACATTGACTCCATTAAATCATCCAGTGATGTTTCTAGCATCTCCAGAATATTTTGTCAATGAATCATTCAGCAATCCATTTTAAAGTAAGTATGACTTGCTTTCATTTGTTGAAAGATTCAGTTCAAATTAAAATCAAGCTGGCAGTAATAAAAATACTGAAATGGCTAGATCAACAGAGCTTAGCCAAAACTCGACTGCTCAATTTTCTGGGCTGACTTCCCCAAAGCTGTTCAAGTATGGATGGGTAACCAGGTAAATTCAGCATAAAATATTTCTTTAATGCTTCAAGTAATACATATGAATTTTACAGGTTATATTCTTTCTCAGAATAGGAAGAGGAAAGATTTAGGATAAGGAAACTAAGAAAATATTTATAATCCTGTTGGTCATTTAGAGAAATATTATCTGAATAGAGAAACACTGGTGGCCTAGTAGTAAAGAAGTGTGTTGCCAACTCAAAGGTAAGTGATTCAACCCACCAGCTGGCTCTCAGTAGAAAGATGAGCGATGATCTCATGTTGTGCAATTTGCAGCCTCTGAAAACCTACCTGAGGGCCAGCTGTGAGTAAGCTATGACTCGATTGCACATAGCAACAATGATCTAAAGAAAGATTTAGGTATATTTGACACACATAAATATTTCAAGAAAATAGAACAAGTGTATAATTTATCTGAACTTCCTTGAAGTTTGATCTTAATTTATAGAAAATGAGATAAAATTCAGTTAATGAGAAAACATCTGGTTATTTCTATTTATAAGCTTCTTATTTAATCCAGGCTGCTAACAAGGTTTCAGAAACAGTTCTTAGATTAAAATGAAATATTAGTCCAAGAAATGATTTTTCTTTATTAAAAATGATCGGTTTAAAAGTGATATACGATAACATATTATGATTATCACAGGAATCCAGAATTAAGGTTGCATTTGGGGTGGGGGCTGGGTCAGGGGCAGGGGTGGGGGGGGGGGGGGGGGTTGCATACCAAAGAGGAAGTTTATCTTTTGCTTTTCAAAGAGAGGAGTGAACTGGAGGGAGGGGGGTAAAGAAAAAAATGCGTCAATGAATGAATGAAAATCCAAAATCTCTGTAAATGTGCATTAAAATTAATAAAAAAAAATTTTAAAGAAGTTTTGGAATGGGGAAAAATATTGGTTTGGATGGAGGAAAAGTAACTTATATCACCCATACTTAGTCTATAATAATTCATTCATAAAGTGTGTATTTTCCATACTCATTATCACTATATGCATAATGTGGGCATACTGGTGGCTTAGTGGTTAGTGGTAAGGAGTTGAACCATCAAAGGCATGTGGTTTGAATCCATTAGCTGCTCCAGGAGGGAAAGAGGGACAATCTCCTTCCGAGCAATTTACTGTCTCTGAAAACCTCCCTGAAGGTTGGTTCCAATTTGGTAGTACATCACCATCATGTCACATCACAATACAATATAACAACATAACATAACATATAATATTATTGAAGGGGGCTTCTGTGGCAGAGTCCATATGGAGTAGTTCTGCTGACTCGAAGGCTTCACCTCTCAGGCTTGGAATCCACTAGCAGTTCTGAGGGACAAACCTGAGCAGTCTCCTCCAATGTGATTTACAGCCTTAGAAACCCAATAGAAGGTTGGCTATGAGTCAGTTCCTACTCCACGGCAATGAGTTTTTGAGTTTTATATGCATGGTACTTTGTGAGGTACAATGAATGAGATAACAGAAGAGACCAAATTCCTGCATTTGATAGTTTAGAAATTAAAATACTTTGCTCTGCCAAAAAGCCTCAAATGATTTACTCTTCTTTTTGAAATCTTTGTTTTCCCCAGACTAGTTGAAGAGAGACAAACTACTCCCTGTATATTTATTACTCAAAACATGTATGAGAGTTCAGATAGGAAATACATGATTATAAATGAAGTAAAAATATATCACTTTTTTTTTCTCCTGAGATCCTCAACAAAAATATTAGATGGAATGTATTGGAGTCTTCCTGAAATGTAGGTACCAGGAGCATCACGTTAGAAGTAACTTTGTTGTGTTTAACAACAGGAAGAGGGAGGAAATTTCTATATGGAATTGTATTACACTGAATTATATGTCACATATATAATGATGCTTTAATATAATTTTCCAACCGATAAATTGAACTACCTTTTTCTCTTACAGTAAAATATGATATTAGCACCTTATTACAAAGCTATTTTGTCAAGATCTTCACAAAATGTTTAGCTTGGCAAAACAGTGTAATTGCTTAATATGAAAGATGGAGAAAAATAATTTTCTAAGACCTTTTCTTCCCTGTAAATACTAGCCTGTCAAAGCTGTATATTTTTCTTTTCATGTGGAATGGTTCTGAAATGGGTTGAAATGTTTTTAATTTACTGGAGCAGAATGCATTAAGGAAAATAAAAGGTCTGCTAAACGTTGAATTGAATAGTAAATAATTTTTGAGGAAATTACAAAGGAAGAAGAAAAAAAAAAGAGTATAAGTTGTGTGCTTATTATTAGAGCTCATAATGGCTTTGGCAGAGGCATCCCAGTGCCTGAAATCATCAAAGGCTTGTTCTCCATTGGTGAACCCTATTTATCTTCTCTTCCTGAACACAAGTAACAAATGTACTTCTATAACTCTAAATGAATAAAACAGATGGAGCAGAGTTCATATAACTTTTCACCAGTTTCCTAACACCAGTTAGAGTACAAAATTATTCTAATATAGACCAATATTTTCTTTTTTGAAAATTTCTCACTGGCAACTGTGTCTGTGAAATATGCAGTAGATGTTTTTGGAAGGTGTTCATATTTTGATAATAAAGAGAAAAAAAGTAGCTGGTTTGTGTCTATGAGACTTAACCTTTCAATAGGTAGTAATCAAGGAGACAGGGGAAAACTCTCTGTGGATATGGCCCCAAAGACAGGGCTTTAAGAGAAGGAATGCTAATATAAACAGAAAATTTAATACTTAGGAGACTTAGAAGGCTGGTGAAATTTTCAACTATCCAAATATAAATAATAAATGTTGTACTAATACTAGAGTTTTACAGTGAAATACTATGAGAAAGTCCACAGCTAAAAAGGGGGATGGGCATAGGTTAAAAAGTTGTATTATTTTTTGTTTTTATCCCAAAGAATTTCTTCAAATGTTAAAAGTCACAATTAGTGCTGACAATTAAAACTCTACTTACTCCTTTTCCATTTCAAAAATTTCCGACTTTCTACTTCTCACTGCCTTTCTCTCACCCTTTCTGTACTCTTTGAGGTTAGCTTAGCACAGTGTCTTTTGCAAAACAGGAGCTCCTCAAATACTTGCCTAATGAATGAATGAATGAATGATTGTTGCCGGTGCGGGAAAGGTGAACATATGTAGAACCACTGTTTCCCGGGTTTCTGAAGAAAATAGCGTCCTTGTCCTCCCATAGACCTTTGACAAGAAGGATGAGCATATGCATCAAGTCATCATCAATGGTGTATATTTGAATCTGGTGGGGAAAAGGAGGTGGAGGCAATCTTGTTGTTGTGAGGTGCCATCGACTCCTCTCTAACGCGTAGTTACCCTGCATACAACATATTTAAACTGTGCAAGATTCTGTGCCGTTCTCACAATCTTCACTAATTTGTTTCCACAATTTCTTTATTGTGATTTTAATGAAAGTTTACAGAAAAGTTAGATTTTCATTCGTTGAAATTTATTCATTGAATTTGTTGAAGTTCATTCATTGGATTTCATTGTTGTATAGTTTCTTCCCTACCCTCTAAGTGAACTTAAAAAAAAAAATGACTCATCATTGCATAATTTCTTTTTTTTGTCCCTAAAAGTATTTTTTTATTATTTATTTTAATGAAATTTTACAGAGACTTTGGATTTCCATTCATTCATTGTTGCACTTTTCTCCCTGCTCACCTCTCCCCCCAGTTCACTCTTTTCTTTGAAAAGTAAAAAAAAAAAAATTCTTTCATTGTTATACAATCCCTTCCCACTAAGTCCACTCCACTATGAAGCATTGGTTCTGGACTCCTTTCATGCATTATTTCCTCCCTCCCCCCACCCTCCTAGCCCATTTTGCATGAATCTCTTATTCTGGATTGTTTTCATACAAATAATGCCTAATCATATATTCCATTGAAATAATTCTTCCCTTTATCTGTTCCAATGCAGTGTGCATCATGTATCCCCTCTTTTCTTAGTTTCCCACCAACTTCCATGTCAGTACTGCTTTATAACAGTGGTATTATACAATCTCCACTAGTCTTAAATCCATTGTTGCAGTCACTACCTCACTTTGTCTCATTGATAGTTTTCCTTTTCTTTGCTAACCCTCTACTTGTCCAAGCATAATCTAATTCTCCAGGCTCTCACCCCTCCTGATAGTATGTCTGAACTATGTAAGACAGAGTCTCATCATCCTTGCCTGTACGGAACACCCTGACTGCAGAGCAGTACAATAACTCTGTGTGTGTGTGTGTGTGTGTGTGTGTGTGTGTGTGTGTGTGTAAAATTTGTATTTAGAATTAGCCAGCTGGACTCAAATTTAGGAGCAAGTTTAACATAGGCCTTGTTCACTCCATCAAATCTTAGTCACGTCAATGTCATAGGGCTTCTTTACAGCTTGTTTGACTTGATGCTTGTTGGCCTTGACATCCACAATGAGCACAAGTTGTTCTTTTCTATCTTCTTCATGGCTGAATCAGTGGTCGGGGAAACATGATGATGGCATAATAGTCAAGCTTGTTTCTCCTGGGGGTGCTCTTCTGGGGGTATCTGGGTTGCCTTCAAAGTTTCAGTGTCTTAGGCTGCAGGAAGGTGGGTGATGTATGGATTTTCTTCTATTTTTGTGTGTAGCTGTGGATGCCCTTCAGGATTGCCTTCTTGACTTCAGTTTTGGGAGGGGCAGGGATTCCTTCC